GTAAATAGAAATACTAAGTATCTTTTCTGCAAATATTTAGCCATTTAGACAAGTGAGCTTGATTTGTTCCACCTGCCAGAAACCTAATTTTAATCCAACCTCTTTTGTAAACTGATGGGTTTTACATTGCTGTACCTGACTCACGGCTGAAATTTTGAAATGAGAGGTATGAGGTCTCTCTCTTTGTGTGCTGTATGTATCTTTGTCTTTGGATAACATTGCTGAGGTTAATTTGTAAATGAGCTCTATTTAATTGGCTTAAAGAAAAGTAAGCACTTACAAATCAGACAATTCTAAATACAAGAGAAATTAAGCTAAATGAACTTCAGGTTCACGTGAACTGGGAAATATTCAGTATTAAACTAATACGTGGTATTAATGTTTAAGTTTTTTGATCTAATTAAAATAGACATGTCTTTAGAGTCATAAATATTAAGTATATTACTTTCATTGCATCTAGGTTTAATAGAAGTTAAATGAAATCATGTTATATCTGTTGCAAATTTGTCAGGAAGAAAAATAATGTGATGAAACTTCAAAGTAAATATAAACGAGATAAGAACTTTTAGGTAAACTCTATAGGAATAATTATGTTCTGAAAATTATCTAAAATAGTCTCTCCAGAGTTTGGTGACTATTACTTGCTTCTTGGTTTTCACTAGAAATTAAGGTTTCCAAGAGTTGGGAATTCTAATTTGAATAAGTAATTAAAGCTACTAAAAATAATAATACACTTCACTATACAGTAGGAAAGTGGGATATATGTTTTGAGTAAAAAAAGGAGTTTTATGCATGGTCAGACTTAGAGAGATTAGATTAGATTACATGATGAGATGAGATTAGATTACACTTAATTGGGTAAATGAATTTTGTTATTAAAAGTAGACTGGTGCAGGACCAGACTTGGTTCCTCTTTGCTAAGAGAACAAGTTTACTTAGAATGCTGCTTTTGATAAAGTTTGTGTGAACTATCTTGCCTTTAACTGACCTGCATTTGTTCTTAAATATTCTATCTGACCAAATGTTTTTTAAAAAACTTTTTGATATTTCTGACGAACTTTCTATCAAATTTGAATTAAAATTCTTTTGACTTCAGCTAGCTTTGGGATGCTTCAGAGGGCCCCTGAGGCACCTCAGGGGGGGAAAAATATATATATATATTAAACTGCCTAGAATTGGTTGATATGCTAGATCACACTGAAAGCATTGTCAAATGAGTGATAAGCCTCCTCAGATTATACAGTATGAATAAATGTTATTAAGATAGACATCCTAGAAATCATATAAAGTTTTGGAAATTTGTATATGTCTTGGTATAATGTTATAATTTTAGTTGTTATCTTAAAATGTTGCATGTCACAACAACTTGGATAAGCTTCTTTGCCAAGAATTGCAATCAGATCTTTACCCTTGCCTTTTGAAGACTTTTATCATTCATAGGCAGTTGAGCTGATGGCTTTGCAAAACTGCCACATCTTCAAGAAGAGTCATAGAAAGGATGTTTTAACAAAAAAAGGTTTCTGATAACTTTTAAATCATACTGCTAAACTAGGTAAGATATTTTAAAAATGTAATGGAAACTCTGAGTTCATAAAACTGTTAGTAGAAAGGATTAATTATATAGGACTGAGTAAACTGATGAACATGGTTGTAATTTTTTGATTTTGCCTAAAATATTACTGGCTTTCGGTCTGTGTTTATCCAGATGTGAGGAAATATTTCTCCCTAAGTATAGTTAAGACAGAGTCAGAGAGTTAAAATTAATAGATAGGTCCAATTACAAATTAGGTATAAGGCTAAAGGGTTTAATATTCCCTGCACAAGGCTGACCAATTCCTTTCCACAGTCAACCTTCATTGGCCCCATACAGCAGGAAGTAGCTAAGAGCGGTCATCGCCCCTTTCCCCGCAAGACTGTGGAATGGACATTGACAGTTGGGAATTGTAATAGGGAAGAACAAATCTCACTTCATATTAGACCTGTTACTTTAACCTTTGTATTCTATTGCTTTTTCTACAAGTTCATCACTAAAGGGATGTTGCCTATAGCTTAAAGTGTACATAGTGGCCCATTTCTGGGGAACCCTGCCCCCACACTTGAATGTTAAACTAGAATACCTTTGTTCAGCTCACAGGGAACATCCTGAGGCAGCCCACCTGTGAACGGCTGCAAGAAAGAAGAAATTAACATATCTCCTCCTGAGTCTGGCCGAAACCAGGAGATATTTGCAACAACTTATAACCGATATTGCCTTTTTTGTTGTTTCTTGCATTAACTAATGTGTGACTGAGCCTCTGATAAAATAATATATAGTTCCATATGAGCTCAGTGATTGTAACATTGAAACTCTAGATATGAGAAGCAATGAGAGGGAATATTTTCCTGGACCATAAGAGACTAGTAAAACAGGAGGTCCAGAGACTTTTGGCACTAAGACCTAGCCCACTGGATAGCACATTGAGTGGCCTACCAATGAACTCTTCACCAGACCTGAGAATGAGCATTCCTAGCACTGTGGGATGAAATGGTCATGAAGTGCCCACAAAACCATGGTCAAATTTATGACCATGAAGGAGCCTTGCCAGCTGAAAATTGACACTTGCCATCTACCTCTCTATCTGATTAACCTCTCTATCTGACTAACCTCTCTATCTGAACCTTTATTTCTTTTCTTGTTCAAAACTTGTTCTCCTCAAGATTGAGGAGTATCAAAGAAAAGGGGGGAATTGTAACTGAGCTGGACCCTATGGGGTCTTACAAGGACAGGCCTTCCCCCATATCCTTTGCTTTAGCTCCTCTCTGAAGTACCTGTATAATAGTATTTGATGAAAATTTCCTGAGTTGTTTTGCAGATGTGAAACCCCCCCCCACACCAAATTGTAGCACTACTTGAGGACCATGGCCCCAGGCCTCCCGGAGCCTAAGGACTAATAATGTTAACCCCTGTGACACCACCCTGCTGCCTCACCATCAGCTAGTCAGAGAATCATGCACAAGCTGATCACATACCCTGTGACACCCCCCCTCACCTGGCCTTTAAAAATGCTTTGCCGAAACCCTTCAGGGAGCTTGAGGCTTTTCAGGGCATGAGGCACCTTGTCTCCTTGCATGGCCTTGCAATAAACCTTTCTCTGCTCCAAACTCCAACGTTTCAGTTTGTTTGGCCTCACTGTGTGTTGGGCATACGAACTTTTAACAGTGAATCTCTCCGACTTCCTCTTCTGCCACACCTCCCTTTTCATCTTCCTGTTCAGCCTTTCAGAGTCCATGTGATTTCACTGGGTACCCATGGATAAACCTGAAAATCTCCCTATTTTAAAGTCAGCTGAGTAGCAATCTTAACGTCATCTGCAAAATCCCTTTTACCATGTAAAGTAACATAACAGCGTGAGTCGCACCAAGGGGCTAAGATCATGGGGAGAAAATTTTGCCCACCACACTCTCTAATGTTCAGTGCAAGACCTGAATGTCTTGCAAAATTTCTACCTCTGTTGAGCTCTACTATCAACACCCTGGCCCAAGCTGCCATCCTTTCTCTCAAGGACAAGGCAATTACTTGTTGACTCTTTTTTAATGCCATCTGTTGCTCCACTCCATGTTTCTAGCCTTCTCATTTTGGTGCAAATGCCTTCTTTCATAAAGTAAAGGCCTTTAAAATGCACCTAACTACATGTCCTTCGTAGTTCACCCCAAACCCAGTCTTTATATGTTTATTTTGGTATGTCAGTGAAAATGGGTGAGAAGGACCTCTAAATTTTTCCTCCTGCTTTAAAGCAATGAGAAAACCAAAAAAGTGTCAGAATCAATTTTCTCAGAGCTCTGGAAATTAAGCCAAATTTTGCAGCAAACGAAGAGTGTTTGTTCAATAAAAAATGGCTGAATCTCAGCAAGAAGAGTGAGATTTGTGGTGTCTTAACTTGCCATATTCCCATCCTCTTTTCTGAAGCTTTGTGGTAGCTTTGAAAGCCAACAGCCCACCATCACAGTGAAAGCTAGGAACCTGGCAGCTACTAGAGGAGGCAGAACTGGTTGGGGCTCCTTCAAAGCCTCACTCTCAGAGGATTGTTATCACTTGGTCTGTCTGGTGGCTCCCTGGAAGCGCTCACCTACACAGATGTTCTTACGTGATCTGACATGGAGCTTGCCCAGTGTGAAAAACTGCTCCCTGGGGATATTTGTTGAATTGTATAGGGACAATTGTTTAACTTTACATCCACATGAGAAGGTGGGGAACGATTAGGACAAACAATAGGCTAACCAAAAAGCTTGAAAAGAAAAGTTGGGGAAGGAGGTGTCCATAGGGAAGGAAAATCTCCAATGTATTCCTGGGACTCTAGAAGGACACATGCATGCATAGAGCTGGGTGCATGCCCAGGGCTCTTTGTTCACTCAGGAAAGCCCTGAAAAGGCCCTAGGAACTCAGCGTTTTGTGATCCTGAGACTCTGTGCAACCAGAAAAAGAAGGCTACACAGTATTGTCAGCTGCATGGCTTAACAATAAAGGTGCCCCAACATGCACACAGAACACTTTGGCAAAGGTTAGGCGACTTACTGGTCTCAGACATTGGAAGAAATCTTTGTCCAATCATTATGACCACTAAGCTAACCAGTGGTCACACATGACAAAGCAGACTTTTACAGAATTAGATCAGGAAATTCACTGAACAAGTAACAAAAACAACAAACAGCAACAACATATAGGTGAGGAGAGGGAAGGACTCATTTTCAGAATTTACATTATGCTATCTAAAATTTCCAGTTTTCAATAAAAATAAGAGAGATGCAAAGAAAAAAAGAAAGTGGGCCCACACACAGAAAAAAAAAAAAAATAGAAACTGTTTCCAAGGGAGCACAGATGTTGGAGTTAATAGGAAAAAATACTTAGATCAGCTATTTTAAATATATTTAAAGAACTAAAGGAAAGTATGTCAAAAGAATTCACCTTTATATAATTTCTTCATTTATATAATTTACATTCATTCATTTATTTAATTTCTTACCTTTTGATACCCCTACACCCTGCATCAGATTGTCTGCATCCCAAGTCAAGGTCATCTCTGCTCGTTCTCATCTTCTCCACCTCATTCTGCCTAGCATTCTCTGGGTTCTTCCAGGTACAAACCATTCTGCGTATCTTACGTACTCTTGATGCTTTTATAGTGCTACCTGGCGCACTCTTCTCAGCATATGCAACTTATCGTTTAACAATATTTTGCACATTTCCTAGAAGAGTGTGTCCCATAGTTAATGTACAGCAAATGCTTTCAGACTGAAGCAAGGTCTGGGCTGTTTACCTTCTTAAGTATGTGGCTTTCTGTTCTTTATCCCAGTTTCAGACTAGAAGCATATGTGCGTAGGAGGACATAGAAGACGTGTTATTTATGGAGAGGAATCTTTTCTTCTCTCTTTATGTCTCTGATGGTTCCCGAACTTGCCATTCACATCCTCTTGAGAACATTAGGGAGATAGCTCCTATCCTTATTCATTCCTTATTTTCTCTTTTTATTGGTGGCCCAGACTCATGGCTTCCCCTTTGGACCTGTCTGCCTGTAATGGTATTTGCTCTTCACTGCTTCTGCTTCTGCATGTGGTAAGTTTATTGGTGCAAGTGCTGCCTCTGCTGGAGATTTCCATTTGCCCAGCTGTGCCCCCTGTAAAAGCTTGGAGACGGCCAACTTGGGGAAGTGTTAGTCAGTGGAACTTTGTTGTGTCTGTCCAATCCAGCTTCCATAACACTAAACCTCATCTTTTAATCTCTATTTGCTCTTGGAGAGGAGAGGGACAAGATAACAGGACACATTCAAGCTACAACCTTTGTTAGGGAAAATGATCAGAAAAAAATTTGGAAAGAAGTGAACAAGGAAGATTTAAAAGAAAAGTCACTTTTGTTCACTGTAAAAGCAGATAAAATTATAATATACTGCTTAAACATATTTTTAAAAAATTTCTTTTCCAGTATCAAGCAACAATAAATGCTACATCATTATCATGTGTATCAGTCACGCTGTTAAGAAATAGTTCTTACCGTAACATTGTTGCCTTAATTAAGGAAAGCTCTCACCCTATTTTGTTCAAGGGAATAATGGTCTACCCAAAGATCTTCTAACACCTAGACCCTGTGAATGTTGCCTTACACAGATGTGATTAAGAATATTGAGATGGGGAGACTATCCTGGTTTATCAGTGAAAGAGGGAGGGAGGAGAAACAGTCATAGATGGAAAAGTGCTGATAGAAGCAGAATCAGAGTGATGCAAAGCCACAAGCCAAGGAATGTGGGCAGCCCCTTGAAACTGGAAAAAGCAAAAAATGAATTCTCCCTTAGAGACTGCAGAAGGAACACAACCCTGCTGACTGTGTTTATTTTGTTTTATTTTTTTTTTTATTTGAAGTATAGTTGACTTACAATCTTGTGTTAATTTCTGCTGTACAGCAAAGTGATTCGGTTTTATATATATATATATATATATATATACATTCATTTTAAAAAATATTCTTTCTATTAGGGTTTAGCATAGGATATTGACTATAGTTCTGTGCTATACAGTGGGACCTTGTTCATCTATTCTATATATAGTAACCAGTGAAACCCATTTCTGGAATTCTGACCTTTAGAACTATAAGATATTACATTTTTATTGTTTTAAGACACTAAATTTCTAGTAATTTGTTACAGCAGCAATTGGATACTATATACCCATTTTTAAGAAAACAACAACAATGTTTTATGTCTGTAAGTTCTTACGGTCTAATATTACTTTGTTAAAAAAATAAGAGTAAGAGATGAGCAAGGACATTAGCAATGACCTTAGGAAACCTTAGGAAACTTACTTGAGCCTCAGTTTTCCCCCCTTGAATTGAGGAGTTTTCTCACTATATGATGTTGGCATTGGGAAGGATTGAGGTGATGTCCATGAAGTGCATGCAAGGTAATGGGCACATAGGAGGTGCCTCATTACCTTTATCCACTGCTAGCTTTGTAAATTGTATTTCCATAAAATAGTGATCACACTTAAGCATGAAAAGTGAGAGAATTATTGAATACTTAAAACTTTGCTTGCCTTAAGTACTAATAGATTCATTTATAAGGTCCAAGGAAAACAGCAGAAACCAGGTGGCTACTCTATTTTATAAAAGTTCGCAGGAGATGAACAGCTGCTGAACCTCGAGGAAGGAAATATAACATAGAAAGTAAGGAAGAACAAAAACGTTGGTTAAAAGAGGACCAAAACACTCCTAAGTCATTCAAAAACCTTCCTGCTAATGTGAAACAACTAGAATGGCCTAAATATGACTGTTTCTGAAGAGCTGGGACAATAACAATGACCTGAGTTTCAAAGACAGGTATTTCAAAGAGCTGGGCAAAACCAGCTAGTACTTCAAAGCAGCTTGTTATTTTCCATGGTGAAATTAGGTTTATTCTCAAGGTTGCGAAATAGAAGAATACAGCATCAGGAGTTGTAGGGGTGGAAACAGGGAGCCAGGGGCAGAGGAGATGGCAGAGTAACAGTGTTTTCAAGCCATTACATTATAGATTTGGAGCCATGTGGGAGGGAAGAAAAGCCAAACTTTAATATGAATTGTTTGGCTGGAAGGAGTCTTTAAGTTTAACCTTGAAAATGGTGTGGAAGGAAAGTGATGATATTGTAACCAAGCAGGACCCTATGGGGCCTCCCTGGAACAGACCCCCTCCCGCATACCCTCTGCTTTAGCCCCTCTCTGAAGTACCTAGATAATAGTATCTGATGCACATTTCCTGAAGTGGTTTTGCAGATGCCAGGATCCCCCCACCAAATGGAAGAAATTAACACATCCCCTCTGGAGTCTGGCCAGAACCAGGACTTTGCAACAACTTAACCGACTTTTTATTTTACCTCACCATCAATCAATCGGAGAACTGTGCACGAGCTGATCACATGCTCTGGGATTCCCCTCCCTTGCCTGGCCTTTAAAAATTCTTTGGGCTTTTTTGAGCACTAGGTGCCCTGGACTCTTGTATGGCACCTTACAATAAATGCCGCACTTTCCTTCACCACAGCCTGGTGATTGTGATTGCCAGTAGATTGGCTTTACTGCACACAGGAGAGCAGTCCCAAGTTTGGTTCGGTAACAATATCACAGACTTTGGGGTTCCTTGTAATCACAAAGACAGACTGGGGATCAAACAGGAACAAGGACAATATTTGATGGGATCCTTAGAATATTCAAATCATACTTGAAAAATGGAAAGTCTGGTTTCTTGGCATATCCTAAGAGATTGTCTAGGAATCAATATTTGAAGTCTAAATAAAAATTATTCCTTTATTTCCCCTAACAACTCATTTATGTCATTCATTGTATAGTAGATTCCTCTTAGACCTGTTTCATTGTGTGCCTACTACCTATTTTTAGAATTTAACTATTTTCCTCCTCCATCTGCATGATTCTAAGTATATTTGTATTATGTGCATCTGGTCCATTGGTCACAATTATTTCTGGGATGGATGCTTGACCTTAGAGGGGCAGATCAGTTTATATATATATACATATATATATAGATATTACATCTTTATTGGAGTATAATTGCTTTACAGTGGTGTGTTAGTTTCTGCTTTATAACAAAGTGAATCAGTTATACGAATACATATGTTCGCATATCTCTTCCCTCTTGCGTCTCCCTCCCTCCCACCCTCCCTCCCACCCCTCCAGGCGGTCACAAAGCATCGAGCTCATCTCCCTGTGCTATGTGGCTGCTTCCCACTAGCTATCTACCTTACGTTTGGTAGTGTATATATGTCCATGCCTCTCTCTCGCTTTGTCACAGCTTACCCTTCCCCCTCCCCATATCCTCAAGTCCATTCTCCAGTAGATCTGTGTCTTTATTCCTGTCTTACCCCTAGGTTCTTCATGACATTTTTTATTCTTAAATTCCATATATATGTGTTAGCGTACGGTATTTGTCTTTCTCTTTCTGACTGACTTCACTCTGTATGACAGACTCTAGGTCTATCCACCTCATTACAAATAGCTCAATTTCGTTTCTTTTTACGGCTGAGTAATATTCCATTGTATATATGTGCCACATCTTCTTTATCCATTCATCCGATGATGGACACTTAGGTTGTTTCCATCTCCGGGCTATTGTAAATAGAGCTGCAATGAACATTTTGGTACATGACTCTTTTTGAATTATGGTTTTCTCAGGGTATATGCCCAGTAGTGGGATTGCTGGGTCATATGGTAGTTCTATTTGTAGTTTTTTAAGGAACCTCCATACTGTTCTCCACAGTGGCTGTATCAATTTACATTCCCACCAACAGTACAAGAGGGTTCCCTTTTCTCCACACCCTCTCCAGCATTTATTGTTTCTAGATTTTTTGATGATGGCCATTCTGACTGGTGTGAGATGATACCTCATTGTAGTTTTGATTTGCATTTCTCTAATGATTAGTTATGTCGAGCATTCTTTCATGTGTTTGATACTTGATACGATTTCAATTTTCTTAACTTTACCAAGGCTTGATTTGTGACCCAAGATATGATCTATCCTGGAGAATGTTCCATGAGCACTTGAGAAAAATGTGTATTCTGTTGTTTTTAGATGGAATGTCCTATAAATATCAATTAAGTCCATCTTGTTTAATGTATCATTTAAAGCTTGTGTCTCCTTATTTATTTTCATTTTGGATGATCTGTCCATTGGTGAAAGTGGGGTGTTAAAGTCCCCTACTATGAATGTGTTACTGTCGATTTCCCCTTTCATGGCTGTTAGTATTTGCCTTATGTATTGAGGTGCTCCTATGTTGGGTGCATAAATATTTACAATTGTTATATCTTCTTCTTGGATCGATCCCTTGATCATTATGTAGTGTCCTTCTTTGTCTCTTCTAATAGTCTTTATTTTAAAGTCTATTTTGTCTGATATGAGAATTGCTACTCCAGCTTTCTTTTGGTTTCCATTTGCATGAAATATCTTTTTCCATCCCCTCACTTTCAGTCTGTATGTGTCTTTAGGTCTGAAGTGGATCTCTTGTAGGCAGCAAATATATGGGTCTTGTTTTGGTATCCATTCAGCCAATCTGTGTCTTTTGGTGGGAGCCTTTAGTCCATTTACATTTAAGGTAATTATCGGTATGTATGTTCCTATTCCCATTTTCTTAATTGTTTTGGGTTCGTTATTGTAGGTCTTTTCCTTCTCTTGTGTTTCTTGCCTAGAGAAGTTCCTTTAGCAGTTGTTGTAGAGCTGGTTTGGTGGTGCTGAACTCTCTCAGCTTTTGCTTGTCTGTAAAGGTT